TTATTATTGTTATTATTATTAATTTTATACAGACCTCCTGTTAGACAAGAAGCCTCTAAAGAGTGACCTTTTTAGGTTATTCAATAGTTCTGCTGCCCAGTACATGCTCATTGGTACTGCACTTGATGTTCAAGTGGATGACCTGCTACCTACTCCAATGGCAGCCTCTGATAAGCTCATACTAGTGTTCCAGAGATGGATAGACTCCAATAAAGGAGTGACTTGGAGGAAAGTACTTCAAATTTGTGAAGATTATCCGGACAAATTTGTAAAAGCAAAAGCTGATCTTGAAAGTTTTCTTTCATTTGATAGAGCATATCACAAATATGATTTACATTTAAAAGATGGTAATAATACTAAAAATTATAAATTATAATTACATGATTCAGTTTACATGTATCTTTTTATCATTTTTGTATAGATACAAGCGCTAAAGCTGAGGAATTTGATAAAGAAAGTAAGAAATAAGTTTTTATTGTATGGTATTAACACTGAATTTTTATTAATAATAATTATAACTGATTTATAATTATCATTAATTTTTGAAATAGAAAATTGGCTGGAGGAAAGTGAAGTTAAGCTAAAAGTCACTGATACCATGCATGATGCTGGAGCTGATAGTTCACAACACCTACTTAATGAGCCACCACCTGAGAAAGCCACTGATAGTACACAAGAAATTGAAAGTAAAGAATAAAGAAATAAAATTTTATTACATTAATTGCTTACTCGTAATTAATATTATTTTGTGTATAATAGGTACTGTTGCTACTGCTACTGAAACTGATGAAATTGATACAGAAAGTAAGAAATAAGCTTTTATTACATTAATTGCTAACTCGTAATTAATATTCTATCACTTGTGCATAATAGGCACTGTTGCTACTGCTACTGTAACTAATGAAATTGATACAGAAAGTAAAGAAATAAGATTTTCTTTCATTAATTGCTAACTCGTAATTAATATTATTTTGTGTATAATAGGTACTGTTGCTACTGCTACTGAAACTGATGAAATTGATACAGAAAGTAAGAAATAAGCTTTTATTACATTAATTGCTAACTCGTAATTAATATTCTATCACTTGTGCATAATAGGCACTGTTGCTACTGCTACTGTAACTAATGAAATTGATACAGAAAGTAAAGAAATAAGATTTTCTTTCATTAATTGCTAACTCGTAATTAATATTATTTTGTGTATAATAGGTACTGTTGCTACTGCTACTGAAACTAATGAAATTGATACAGAAAGTAAAGAAATAAGATTTTATTACATTAATTGCTTATTCTTCTAATACTTGCGTATAATAGGTACTGTTGCTGTAGCTGGTGTAATTGATACAGAAAGTAAGAAATAAGTTTTTGTTAATACCTTATTTGTTCAATTAAATGCCTGAGCATTTATTGTATCATCTGTCAAAAAATGAAAAATGCCAGCAATTGGACTCAAACATAACCTTGGAATCATAAGACTGCATGCATACATGAAAAGCTAGACTATTTGAGGCAATCACTAGGTGGTATAAAAATATTTTAAAGTATATTAAGTAAAATTTGTAACAGACGCTCCTAACTATCTGTTCACCAAACTTATTTCTTAATCAACACGAAACTCAACTGAGCTCAAAAAACTAACAAAAACTAACTCACAACTAACACACAACTAAAAACTAAAACTCACAAACAACACACTTATATAGATCTTATAAATGTCCAGAAGGTTCTATAACATACAAGAATACTTTAAATGATTGTTCTAGAATATACTTGAATAAACACATAATATATAATTACAATAGTACACAGAGAGTTCCGGATCCATTTAGAAACAACTTCTTACATTTCCTCCCTTCCCCTCTGGCACGAAGTGCTCTTCCTCTCCAATCTAGAAAGTGCATCTGCATTTGCATTTGCTACCCCT